CGTGTCCCATTAGTCGGTTGTGGTATATGGTAGAATATCTTTCGATTTCTTCTGTGACGAATGGGATTTGAAGATCTTTTTTTATGTGAAGTTCGAGACATACCATGGGGCGTTGGTTATGGAGCGCAGTATATTTGGTTGGAGTCTTTGAATTATTTTGGTGTTCGAAGGCTGAGCACACCCCCACAGTTGAACTCCGTACGTCGAAATCGGTTTCAATATGCATTCGTAAATTAGTCTTGTTTTCTAGGCTGAGTTTTGATTTTCGTCCTAAGAGCCATGACATCTGTCGTACTTTTAGGTTTAGGTGTTGGCGTTTTGTCTTGATGTGCTTCTGCCAAGTTAGCTTCTGGTCTAGGTATAGGCCGAGGTATTTTACTTCTGTCTGTATTGGGATTTGTAAATTATTGATTGTGACTGGTGGACAGTGTGTGCGATTTGTTGTGAATGTTATCTGTGGAGATTTTGTTTGGTTTATCCCGATTTTCCATTTTTTGAACCATTGTTGTAGCAGGTCCAGATGGTGTTGAAGAAATTGCGATTCCTGTGCCGGGTCACGGTCTGTTGCTAGGAGAGCAGTATCGTCTGTAAAGGTTGCCATTGTGGTTTTGTTGGTTGTTGGCAGATCTGCAGTGTATATTAGATATAACAGACGCAAAACACACTCCCTTGTGGTACTCCGGCTTTTGCTAGTTTGTCGCTAGAATAGGTATTGTTGTATTTTAGTTGAAAATAACTTTCTGAGATGTATGACTTTAACAGTAGATAGTATGGACTTGGCGATTTGTTCTTGATTTTGTGTAGTAATCCAGTATGCCAGACTTTATCAAAAGCCTGGACAATATCTAAAAACGCTGCAGTGCAATACTGTTTCTCTTCTATACTTGTGGCAATTTTGTTGATTATTCTCTGAGTTTGGTGGATTGTAGAATGATGTTCTCTGAATCCAAACTGAGAGTCGGGTATAATATTGTGTCGTGTTGCGCTATATATGATGCCCCTCCGACCGCCCCGCCAGCCGTGACGCGCCGAGTCCCAGCATCCTGGTAGCTATGCAACGCGAGTCAACAGCGGTGACGTCACCTAGGGATACCGCGGTTGCTAGGCAGAAGTAAACAACTGCGGACAGCGTTGCTAGCAACACGGCACCACACAACAATGGTGCCTATTACGTAGCTGTTTTCTGAGTTGTCCGGAACGATGCTAGATACGGAGCAGCGAAGACTATTCACAGTCAGTTCCGAGCAAGCCTACGAGTCAGAGTGTGTGAACAACAGTTCTCAAGGCAGCAGTTACCAGGTACGGACGCGTGTGCGAGAATCAGTGATAGTTCGTGATAACCGAGTAATAATTGGGAGTGTGTGATACAGTTGCACTTGTATACCTCCCGCGTTATAAAAACCTGTATACTGACAATAGAGTGATTTGATTTGCGAATAGGGTTATAAATTGTGAAACCCCGCAACTTTGTTATAATTAATTGTAGCCGAGATTTGTAGGTTGTTGAATAAACCAATTAACAATCTCTACGGCGTCTTCAGTAACGAAACACGTTACAGTATCGTGGATTTCTGTGTCGTGTCTAATTCTGTTCAGTAAAAGTTTTTCAAATATCTTTGAGGGAATAGGTAGCAGGCTAATGGGTCCATAAGAGGTCACTTCGTTAACTGGTTTTCCAGGCTTTGGAATCATAACAATTTGAGCAAATTTCCATGTCGTTGGAAAGTAAGATAGCCTGAGCATGCTACTGAAGATTATTATGAGTAGTACAATTGCTTTATTTGGTAATTGTCTCAATATCTTCCCCGTGATTATGTCGTAGCCAGGTGCTTTGCATTGTTTCACTTTTTTAATCTGTTACTTTACTTCTGTAGGTGACAAGGCTTTGATCGGTAAAGACATTTGACATGGCGTATCTAGAGACTTCTCAATTTCGTTGTAATTATGATGATTATTAGAGTCGTGTGGTGTAATTACCAGAGAAGGATATTCAGCAAAATTTTCGGCTTTTTCTAAATCACTTTTGGCCCAGCTTATGTCAGCTTTTCTTATTGGACGTATTGATTTTTGGGGCCGTTTGAATGTTCTTGTAGCTTTCCAGATTGTATGATCGTCCTTGTTGAGTGAAGCGATATATTGCTCAAAGGCCGTGTTTCTTGCATTTGCTAGCGTATTGTGCAGTCGTCTTTTAAGTCTGTTGTAGTTGATTCTGTCATCATTATTTCGTGACCTTTGCCACCTATTCCTTGCTCTGCGTTTTTCAGCTACTAGTTCGCGTATGTGCTGGGGGATGCTAAATGTATGTTTTGTTGTATCCAGTGGCGTGGGAGTAGAGTACCACGCTGCTTCCTGGATTAAAGTTGTAAAGTATTGGGTTGCTTGATCTAACTCGTCGGTTTCTCTTATTTTTATGTTCAAATTATGTGGTCTTCAATGTATGTGCGAAAGTTGTTCCAGTTCGTTGCGTTTGTAACCAGCATATTTATCGGTGATTGGTTTATCACATGGGTGGATAAAGTTGCAATTACAGGTGTGTGATCAGACAATAGTTCATGGTTAGATTCTATCTTAATGTAATTTTTTGTAATACCTTTGTGGATGAAAAGTCTAATAGGTCTGGTAGCTTGTTATAATCGCTTGGCCAATACGTTCCTTCACCCGTGGAGAGGTGGTTACAATTTCGTCTATTCATTGCTTCCAGAAGGTTTCTTACTTTAGTTGTAATGAGTCTTCTTCCCCACGTCGTTACTAGGCAACGAATCTGTAAACACGTTTCCGATTCAACAATTTCACAGGCAAGAGTAAAGCAGGTGGACTGTCGTTACTAAGGAACGAATCTGTAAACACGTCCCCGCAACAATTGTACATGCGAAAGTATAAAAACTGTTTTCTATGCAGTCCGTCAATACCAAATCAACTACTGACCGTCAGTCGCAATGTGAAATATAAGCAGGAAATATAAGCATTTCATGTAAACATAATCTACATAACTGGCTCCTGTGCGTTAAGGGCGGTCATTTCTGGACATGTGACACAGTCAGACTCTTAAAATCGGTACCTAATTTTTAAGAATTTCGCCTTAAAAACGTTCAATTTTTCATAAACTGCTCGCTGATTCCCTATACTTGAAAATTTAATGAATTAGCTGCACAAGTCAACGTGGGGCCAATCAAAATCTGCCACGTACCTTCTAAATGTTATTTTACATTGCTGGCCCTAGCGAACTTCTTCGGGCCTTCCTCCGTCTTTCGAAGGAATTCAACATGGGAACAAAAGGCAACAATAGTACATGCGAAAGTATAAAAACTGTTTTCTATGCGGTCCGTCAATACCAAATCAACTACTGACCGTCAGTCGCAATGTGACTTGGACTTGGATTAGCCAATTATCATGACTTTGTATGGCTTCCGCTTGTTGCCTGTATAATTTTGTTATATAATCCTACACGTACGGAATTGTGACTTTGACTTTGATTAGCTGAATAACTGTTTTATATTTTCAGCTGACGAACGATTCACTTCATCCAAAACAACCAAAATGGAAACAGCTTCTTGGTGGCAACTGCAATCGGAGGTCTCTGCAGATGGCGTACACTTTGATAAACTGGTTGTAAGTGTCACAGACTCAAGTATTTCTATGTAAGTTGCTCTATCATACGAAATTACAACTAACGCTTGTCTAACTGCTGTTCTTATATTTGTTGCAGTTGAACTTCATCATCTTTATTATAATTTATCTGATACAAACCTATGCTGAAAACAAACTTAAACGGAAGTGGAAAAGGGTAAGTTTAAGATCAGGCCTTACATTCACTGTCACATAGCTAAGGGGTGGGCGCAGCAAACACTGCTCCAACAATTCGGGCAGGAACAGAGATTTGTCTCTTCTCCATAGCATCAAGACCGCCCTTGGGCCCCATCCAGTTTCCTACCTCATTCAAATTTTCCTGGGGGGGGGGGCTTTAAGTCGACTGGGCGGTAAAGCTCAAGTTGTCAGTAGCCCCGACCATACAACGTCAAATGGCACGATCAACAATGAATCATGAATTCAAAAGGATTGGCAGTGGCCTAGTTTGTTGTATTATCGCGGTATTTTCCACGAGAGACAGAAGGAAACAAAGAAAACCTAAATGAGGACAGGCGATTCCCTACATGAAATTGCCCAAAGCAAGTCAACTGTTAGGGATTTGACTCGAACAGGCTGATTTCATGGTAACGGTGTGGACTTGTAATCGGGTGTTTCATGGCTTTAATATTCTTCAGTTCCTCCAGCGAAATGCCAGGGCAATTCCCCAGCTGGGCCATTGTCGCCTGTTTCCAAATCCTTTCAAATCATCACCCAGCCTTCGTCGAAACCTTCGGTGCCATAAAGTCTGTGATATTGCAAGTGTCGCAAAATGGCACATAAAAATATAGTGCTTCAGTCAGCCTGTTCGGTACCACACACGTCCATCTTGTGCCGAGATTAACAATACGTCATTTTGCCGTTGCTTAATTAACTAAACACAGATGCAAGTCTATTTCAATCTATAAGCACTGTCTACTAAGTGGCGTGAAGTCATTTATTTCTCTATACAGGTCTATAATATTCTTGCTCTTAATGTTTGTTGGAAGCTCGTCAATTTTCTCTTTCAGATATTCCCTCTTTCTATTCCTGAAATGTCTGCTGGTTTCACGTCTTATATGGTTCACATTATACACATTTATTTAGCTTGGATCATGTAACCACTGAGGTTTTGGCTTATTTCCTTTGGTCTCATAATTCTGAGCACCCTTCATCGAACCATGGCTTATGCTTCTTCAGTTCATGAAACCTAGACTCTCATTGCCAGAAATTTTTATGATTACAACATCACACAGCTAAACGTTGTTCAAAGTAAAGAATTCACAGAAAACGCACCCCCTGTGCATTACAAACACATGCCTGTTAGGGAAGTCTTCATCTTCATTCTGCGAACTGTATGAAACAAGGAGATTAATAACAATTCCTTTCGATCCACAGGAGGAAGAACAAAACAAGTTAGAGCTGAAGAAGAGAGCAGAGGAGGTAAGTTAAAATTGTCACTCACTCACTCATGGAACTGAGCCCTTCTTGAGGAGCCGCCAATTGCGCAGCTACTAGAGAACTTCCCAACATCTTATGTAACTCGAAGGTTCATTATCTTGTTCATTAGAGCCCTCCACTGGTCCCTTTACTAAGCAAGATCAATCCAATCCATTCCATCCCATCCTATCCCTCTGAGATCCATTTTCATATTGTCCACCCACCTACGTCTTGGTCTTCGTAGTGATTTTTTTCCACTTACTTTAAATGCGGCACGAAATTCTATTAAACGGTGGACACGGATATAATTACTTTTTATTCTGGCAATTGTAACAAACATGTAGATTGATACCTATTTCCTTGCGTTCACAGATTAAAACTATCATGCTTGATCTGTTACAAGAGGAGCGGAACCTACGACACGTGAGTCACAAATTTCACTTTAAGTATGGCATACACATTCAAGGCTTGGTCAAACAAGTCCCTCAGTGAAGTTACTAGGGAATTCCAAATAATTTTAAAAATTATAACATATTTTATTCACAATTCAATTTCACAATCATAAGCACATAAGCAGTTGACAGTCTATATTTATACGAGTGACCGTCCGCTACAGCAATCGAATATACATTTTACATTGGTAATCTTTATTAAAATCCTACATGCATTTCTGCACAAATCTTGAAGATCCCCTGAAGATTTAAACATTTATGGCAGCCAAACATTTTTGTGCCCACTAACCGGTTTCCCTTAGCCTCCATGCTCTAACGTCAAAATGGCTCATATTGCTAGGCAAAGGCTCGGTAAAAACAGCAAGCGGGAGCAAACGCGCGCAACAGCGTTGCTAAGCAACGGATCTGTAAACACGCCTGCTTAACAATAGATGTGATTTTTCTGCGTGGTCCGTTCAAAGTGGTTATGAAGAAGTGTTCGGCAGCACAGAGCAACATGAAATGAGTAGTTTAGTTTTGAAACGCCAGCCTCCCGGCACGTGAGCTTGGGAGCAGAGGACTTAAATTGAATCGAGTCCTTAGAATTGGCAGATGCAGAATAATGACAAGAAAGAAATTAGTCTGTGAAAATGAGGCTCCACGTGCAATTTGAAGCGACAGTGAGAACGTTACAAATCCGTTGTCAGCATACGACTAGTGAAGACTGAGATTCTTAGTGAGTGTGTAACGCTGAACTGGAAAGTGTATAGAATAGCGAGAGCGCTGTATGGTCTGCACTCCCGAGTTGTGAATATGTAAGTTGCAACAAATCCAATCATGCAATCCAAATCCCGTCCTACAAGTCACGCGCAACGCCCCTTACACGTGACAATATTCAGACTATAGACGGGCTGTGGATTGGTGACTCAATTCACTGCACAATTTGATACAACGCCTGAATACAATTTACAGTTCACTGTTTCACATACAATATTGTCAACAGTCACCCTTTGACTGTCGGTGCTTGCTATCGGCTTTCAAAGGCAGATATTCCCCTTCCTCTGGGCACCCGAACTGCCGTCGACCTCGACTAACAGCTTCTCATAGCAGCAGCTCACAATTATTTAATCCCAGCAGTTCTCTGCCACTCATAAATGATCCTGGTTATAACAACTTGGCACGGACAGCATAGAAAACGTCTTAAATTATTTCTGTATTCTCTCGTTACCGTGGAAACATGCTTGTTTGCGGAGCTGTTACTTAGCAATGGCTCTTGTATACTTATTAGTTTCGCAGTCGTTGCCTGGCAACGGGACTAGAGGGCACGATGTAATATCTGAAAAAATATATAAAAACCCCATAGAAAGTGAAGGTGGAGGACACTGTACGTGTATGTCCATCTATCTGTGGGGCTGCCTGCTCGTCCGCTTTGCCGGGTTTCTGTTGTCTGTAAGAGAGCGACGATAACTGATTGCTGTTTATGACTGTGTTTTAATAATCTGTTAAACAAACATTTTCATTTGCCTATAGGAACAGAATGAACGCCTTAAACCCACACAGACTGCGATATCTCAAACGAAGGCAACAAGAAAGGTGAGTTTACACACACCGCCTACTTCACATGGCACAGACAATCTACAATTCGTATACGGCTACATGAAGTCGGTCAATGAAGTGATTCAGTATTTCTAAATAATTTTAATGTTTCTAATGGGTTTCATTCACAGCCCAATTACACAACTACTAGCATTATCAGGTTCACTTTATAACACATACGAAGAATATGCGGAAAGTAAAGATACAAACAAAGTCCACAAAATATTTGTAAGACTTTTCTTTGGGATTCACTAGTAGAACTTTTACAACCCATCTTTATTTACCTTCCAACATACTCGCCCTGTATCACAATGCACTTAGTGCCCCTGGGAATGCGCTTCTTTTTATCCAAGCGTCGTAGAAATCTCCCGCCTCCTCTCATAGCAATGCAAATACAAATTTTGATACGTCTGGACATGGTTGATGAACTTCATCGACGGTTAAATTTCTGCCAGCACGAATGTGTTCATCAGTCTTTTTGGATGATTTCATCAGTGAAAACGGATGGCCTACCACTGTTTATTTCATCATGAACATCACTTCTTCCCGCTTCAAATTCACGACACCATTTTGCCACCTATAGATTCATCATAACATCTTTTCCGTAAACATAAAAGAGTTGGCGATGAATTTCACATGAAGAATTCGAATTACTGCAAGAACCTCACACTTCGCGAGATTTCGAAATAGACTCGGCCATTTTAATCACATACTGCAAGCACGTTGCAGTGACTGTGATCGGTAACTCTGCCCTGTCATAGGGTTCCTATCTCACACGACAGCACTGTCATTTCTGAAGAAAAAATCCCTTGTAGTACATTTATGAAAATATTCTACGCAATTAATGTCGCCCCCTTCCTCAGATATGGCACAGGTTTAACCGTCAATAGTTCTCTCCAGAATTAAGGAAAGGACACTTCATGTCAGTCCACTTGCGGGCCTACCTGTTCGTCCGCTATGGCGGATTCACGCTGTCTCCTAAAGGGGAGATCAGATCTAGAGGCTGGAACAGGGCTATTAGAACTTCTTGCTCTTTATGGCTGTTTTAAACATCAGTTGAACAAACATTTCCTTTCGTCCACAGGAAGCAGAAGAACACGATCATCATATACGTAATGAGAGAGGGTCGCTGAACGAGGCGAAAAAGGTGAGTTTACAAACACAACCTACGCCACATGACATATACATTCTAGAATGTACGGCTACATTAACTCGGTTAATGAAGTGATTTAGTATTTCTAAATATTTCTAACGAGTTTTATTCACAATCCAATTCTACAATTACTAACATTCTCAGGTACACTTTATACCACATAGCTGCATTTATGAAAATATTCTAATGTCACCCCTTTCTTCAGATAAAGCATAAATACAACCTGACCGTCATTCGTTCTCTCCAGCGTTAAGGAAAGGAACACTTTAGTCGTCCATCTACGAGCCTACCTGCTCCTTCAACATGGCGGTTTCATACTGTCTCCTATAGGTAGATCATATCTAGAGGCTGGAACAGGACTAACAGAAGTGTTGCTGTTTATGACTGTTTTAAAAATCAGTTGAACGAAGATTTCCTTTTGTCCACAGGCAGCAGAAGAAAGCCATCAACACCTACGAAATAGGATGGATTCATTTAAGAAGAAAATGAAGGTGAGATAACCACGTCACTTAGTCCACATGTTACTTGTTATGGCCCAAATTTGAGATAGTAGAAGAAGCCACTGCCCAAAATGTTCGCGCCTAGCGAACAGTGTTTCACAGTTATTGCCGCAACTTGTAAACATCAGTAATGGCAAGTAGGTTAGGAATTTGTGTGCTCAGCAAGGCTGTGTCCTCACAGAGCTAGAAGTTTGCCTCACTCGGACACTGGAGAATCGTAAGAAATCGCTTACACAGCCATAAGACGCAAGGGGTCTGCCCACATCCACCGATAAGACCCAATGAAAACATAACTTTAGGAAATTAGAACACAAGGGAGGAGCTATCTACCCCCTTGTCGTCCACGCTGAATCGGCGAATTAAAACTATAAATTAGGGGAATTCGAGAGACTTGGGATTCTGATCTTAAACAGAATAGAGAGTTGTCAGCCGGAGGCTATCGGCGACATGTATACCACTAGAGGGTGGATGACGGCAGTAATCTACATGTGTATTGCAAGTAAGTCTTTTTGCTCATATACGCCATGCTGTTAGAGGTTACGGTTAAGAAAAGTGTTATTGTGAGATCAACAGGCAGTCTCCAGTGTACCAAGTGAGAGCCAGGGTAGAACAGGGTAGAAATGAACGGGGAGTGACGGACAATGATAGGAGCACAGTTTCAAGGCACCTCCCCTCCACGAACCAGGACGGTAGCATTAGTTTAGCGATAAGAGTCATGATAGACAGATCAAAAGCAAACCTTTTTCTTCCTGTAATTATTATTGTAAATAGACAGTGTACATAGTAGAAAATGTGCGCAGGGAGTTCTGATTCCCCCGTCAGTAACCATCCTGTCCTCGACCGATCCCGCGCTACCATAGGTAAGACAGCCGACGGCAGCCGAGTGTAGTGCCGATGTCAGGAAATGAGTAGCGACAGACAAAAGAAATTATAATTTCTCACCCCCTCCCCCCTGAGGTGTAACATTACTTACATTAAAGATGGCACATAAGTACATTCAAGAATATTTCCCCAAGAAAAGCCAGTCAATGAAGTGACTGAGTAGATCTAAACATTTAAATAATTCTGATAAATTTCATTCAAACTTAAGTCTACACTTATAAGCACCCTTAGGCACACTTTATCTAAATCCAAAGCGTGATCTATGGTGTGGTCGTTCCTTGTTTCGGGGTGCCCCCAAGAGTAGGCCGCAGGGCAGATAGAGTTGGCTAGTGTTAACCCTTCCTTTGTGGGTGGATGCCCTGTAAGATATGGAGGAAGATAGGCAATCTTGCATCCCAGTGCCTCTGGTGCGACGTGACGGCATACTGCAGGTGCTCCTCGACCTTTCTGATGTATCGTTCCACCGTGCTAACCGGCTGCGGGTGCAGGATTATTGGTGTGTGTCTTGTTAACTCCCAGGGTTGCAAAACCTCCTTTATCAGACGAGACTCGAAGTGACGGCCGTGGTCACAATCCAGCTACAGCGGTAATCCCGAGGAGGCACAAGAAGTTGGTAACACACGCGTGTAGCACTGCTGGCATTACTTCTCAATATCGTTTCTTTCCTCGAGCCAGTCTTACCCTTGTCGGAAATCATCCAAGATCTTGCTGAAACCCAAGTCACCTCCTGACGGTCTCACAAGCAGTTCGGTCAGAATGATATTCACTCTGCCCTAAAAGGAACTATCTGCACTATTTGAGATCGTCCGTCGGCAGATTCCCAGTGGCGCTCCTGTATGTCGTTCCTCACAGTGAGTGATTTAAATTGGGCCCCGTACCTTTTCAAATTGGGACTCAGGTCGGCGACGTTTTTTCCATTCTGGGCGCTGTCTCGTCCTTACCCCCTCCACAATGGGCCTCTGAACTGGTCGTTGAGTTCTTCAGTTGTCTAAGGTGCCGGATCCCAGCCGGCTGCGGCTACAGCTGCAAAAGCTCGTACTTCCTTCACGTCTGCCCCCGCCCACTCTTTGTG